ATTTGCCAGAAGAATGAAATATTGCTTCCACTTAATATACTGATACTTAATAATATACCCCCTTACAAGGTACCCCCAAATAATATACCCTCCTCCATACAAGGTACCCGGGGGTACAAATTAAATTTTATCATGTGAATTGTAAGATAACCAGGTACCTTATATGGTGTTTTACGGTAAATAAAATTCGGAAGTTTTTTAAAACTTCTAGCGATAATTTCTCAATAAGTACTTAAATTAATTCAGTAAATTTTTTTAATTTTAATTTCATAATGTTATAGAATTAAAGTAAAATAAGTTCATTAAATTTGGTTTAGTAGGATTCAAGAAATTATTGCAAAAAGTTAATAAAAAACTCCAAAATTCTTTGAAAAAAAATTTGAAAATTTTCTTTATTTGAACTTTAAACGACAATTTTCTGATACTAACCTATCCAAATTTAATGAATTTTTTTTATTTTAATTCTAGGAGTTAATAGAATTATAATAAAAGAAAATTATCAAATTTGAATAGCTGGTTATCAAGAAATATTCTTTAAAAGCTAAAAAAAATTGACTGCAGTTTTTATTTATAGGTGCCTAAACTTTGATCGAAAATTACTTGGCACTTACCTAGTCAAATTCAATCAAGTTCTTTATTTTAATTCTATATGCTCATAGAATTAAATAAAACAATTTGATCAAATGTGACTAGATAAGTGCTGAGTAATTTTTGTTCAAAGTTTAGATTCCTATAAATATAAAACTGCGGTTAATTTTTTTTGGCTTTTAATAAATATTTCTCAACAACAAGCTATTAAAATTCAACCAATTTTTTTTTATTTTAATTATATGATTCTACTGAATTAAAATAAAAAAAATCCATCAAATTTGAATAAGTTAATATCAAGAAATCATTATTTAAAGTTCAAATAAAATAAATTTTAACCGATTAAGATTTTTGGAGTTTTTTTACCTTTTTGTGATAATTTCTCAAACCAAATTTAAGGGTAGAGAATATGTAGATCATTTATTATATGATTTTTGTGGTACAATGTGATTTTTATAAAAAATAAAATATGCTACTAATAAAACTTTTTACTGTTTTAATTAATTTTTGTAAAATTTTTATATTATATAGATTAATACCTATTCTTTATAATAGTAAAATTTTTAATAAGCCAAATATTTAAAAAAAATATACTTGTATATATTGTAAGTTTTCCGTAGTCAGTTCAAATTCTCTGGGGTTACACAAAATCGTTGATTTTGATTTGCTTATGTCATATGATCATCATATGATTTTTATAAACAATTTATAATACTAAATATTTAAATATATATATCTTAATGAATATCTAACCAATTTTAATTATTTTACTACTGTTAGAATTATAAAAACCTGCTTTACATCCTTTATTAGAAATTTAATACCAGATTGCTTAATAAAATTTTCTTTAATTTTAAAAAGAAAAAAAGTTACCATTAGTTTTATATATAATTTTATATATAATTTGCAAATAGTATTCTCTACCCTTAATAAACTTTTTTTACTTTAATTCTATAACATTATAAAATTAAAATAAAAAAAATTTACTGAATTAATTTAAGTAGTTATTGAGAAATTATTGCTAGAAGTTTTAAAAAACTTCCAAATTTTATTTAATTGAATCTTCAATGTAGATATTACAAACGTGTATAATGATCGACAAACTGGGCAAAGATTCAAATGCATTAAATAATAATAATTACATTAGACTGATCAAATTTATAGTAATAGGAAAGTGTAGAGTTGGAACCGGTTTTAATAATTCAGGTTTATCACATGAATTTTGTGATATTTTAGAATTTATTAAAATTTAATTGGATAAATTTTTAAAATATTACAAAATTCACGTGATAAACTCAAATGATTAAAATCAGTTCTAATATATTTATCATAATTATAAATTATGAGCTACATTAGGATGCGTGTTAATTCGAGATGCTTATGAGTGCTAATTCGAGACCATATAAGTTATTTCAATATTTTTGAAGCACCCGATTTTCAAAATAACATCCACGAGCGTTATTTCGTGATTATATGGTAAATATTTTAAATTAACTGCATAATTTGGAGCTTGATCTAATTACATACTAATCCTAACTTCATTTCAGAAACAAGTATAATGATAAGAAATAAACATGCTATAGTCCAAAAGAAGCAATATTTGCACATAAATCTTCTTAACCCACTCACAATCCTATTAATAATATATGTTGCATTTATTTATGTTAAAATCATTCAATGAAGTTTGATATTTGGCACCTATCAGCTCGATGTATTTTGAATAGTAGTATGCTTTCAAAAAGAAATCAGGTGTAGTGCTCCGAAAGAGTCATTCGGGTCTGGTTTGGGGTTACAGTAAACCCGTATTTGTTTGAACAAACTCAGGTATTATTAAAATTATTCGGCTATCTGGTAATTTATTATAGCTCAAAGTTATTCATTTAATTAATCATACAATATTTAACTATTGATTACTAGTGATTTAATCACTTGGGGTTGTGTAATAAATTTTCGGGGTTTGACCCCTTTCGGAGCACTAATCAGGTGATAATAATAGATCTGAATTGAATATTCGATCGTTGAATCCGAATCTCGAATCTATATTGTGGAACACTACCAGTTTTATAGATTTTTACAGAGCAATTCCCAAAATTCCTGGTTGGATTTAGGTCGGTATTTAGCCCTAGTGGTTAGTAGGTTCTATAGCAAAATTATCAGCTAGGCACTTTTCACTTAATAAATAGCCACGATTTCATTAGTAAAATTCTTAGTGATTTTGGGCAAAATCGATCATTTCTGGCCCTGCCGACCAGGATTCCGATACATTCTGACCAGGAATTTTGGGGATTTTCCTGTATGAGTTAGTGGTATATTTTTTGATCATCGCATCACATGATTAAGTGTTCGGTTTAAATTAGGGTTAGGTGACAGGATAGTTTAGGCTAATTTTTTAGTGCTAGTAGTAAATAGAAAATCACCGAACTTAAATCCAATATTGATATCCGGATTTCAAATATTATTTATAACAATAATATAATATTGATATGAATATAATTTGCTCTAAAAATACAGAAATACAAATTATTTTCTTGTTAACAGTTGCTTGAAGTGATATTTGTGTTCTATAACAAATTTAATAAAGTTATTTGTATGTAATAGAGATAATGAAATAATTTTTTCATATTAGTATATTGAAAATAAAATTTTCTAACGTAGTTTTTGCAGATTTTCCATTGCGTTTCAATATTAAAATTGTAATAGCATTTTTAATACAGAATTATATAATTATATTTAAATAAAATATTATTCATGCTTAATAATGGGTCGCAGTTTTCAGCTTGGATCATTTTATTCGAATATAATGATTATTAATTCGGAGTTGCCCCAGATTTTCTATTTGCGTGCTTAGTAAACAAATGATGTCATTGCACATGTGATGATCACTAGGTTCCGTGTCCCTATTATTAACCATAGCTGCCGCAACAAATTTGGACCGGCAGATTCTCGATTTTAATTGGCTAAGAGCGACGATCAAAAAATTAGGCCGGAATTACTCATAATTTTACTAATGAAATCATAGCCGCCCATTAAGTGAAAATTGTTCCTGGGTCAATTTTACCATAGTGCGGGCTTATTTTTTAAGAATTTCTATTTTTGTAATAAAAAAATTAAAAAGTTAATTCCGGCCGGAATTTAGTAAACAATTTTGTAATGTGGGACAAAATTTTGAAGATCCTTGGCCGTTAGCCAATCAAAATCGAGGATCTGCCGGTCAAAATTTGTTGCGGCAGCTATTATTAGACTTATAAAGTGAACCAACGCCGATACTAGTATTTAACACTGTTAAATAATTTTTATTACTAAATAGATAAAAGTAAAAAAATAAATTTTTTTCTTATCATTTTAAAATTTAATAAAAAAAAAAAAAAAAGTAATAAAAAAGAGTGATAAAAAATTAAACCCGATCATATTAATATTCTTAAATTTTTCCATAATACTTACGTAACGACTAAAAAATTTTTTTTTTTTTTTTTTTTATAACAATATTTTTTTGATGATTATTTTTTTATGACCAATAAACATTAAAATTTTTTTCAAATATTATTTACAATTCCAATTTCTGTACATAAATCCTATGACAATAAGAATAAGTTCTACGTTCTTTAAATTCATATAACATTTGTTCCATCATTTTCTGAGAAGTTTTATGAGGTAAATGATCAATACTTTTTGAAATAAGACCTTTTACAGCTTGTTCATGATGCACGCCAAGATTTCCACCCCATGAACCACAAGGAATTTTTCTCATTTCATGATATACTTCGGAAGAAAGGTTTGGCGCAGAACTTAGTATTGTTGATAAGTGATAATATAACATTGGGTCAAGATTTCTTTCTTGTGCACGTGCTCTTACTAGATATTATGAATTATAAATTAAATATATAAAATATATAAAATATATATATGTATTTTTTAAGTGTAAAAATGCAACTTACGGTCTGTAATAAAATCCGTAGTTACAGGACCTAAATGTTCACCGTCTAACGATATATCGACAAACTAAGAGAAATGAAATCATATAAATAAATGTAAAATTATATTCAACATTAATTTGATGCTAAAGAAATTTAACATACTTCTAACCATCCACCTGGTTTCAACAATCTAACTAATTCCTTTATGGCAGTCGTTCTCCATTGATCAAAAGTAAAAGAATACCAACAAAATCTCAAATGAATAAAATCGAAAGAGTTATCCTCAAATGGAAATCTTGAAGTAAAATCTTCATGTAGTTTAAATTCTACATTGGTTGGTTTTTGATTGGGAAACATTGGAACTGTTTCTACTCCAATAAAAGTAGAATTTCGATAATCCGAAGACATATCGCATGCCCAAGTACCTGGTCCACAACTTTTCGAGGAATATACAATAATACCGTTAATAAACACAACAAATACAAGTAAATATAAGTATATAGAATTTATTAAATGAAAAAAAAACTGCACGTACCCAATATCTAAAACCTTGGCGTCACCAGATAATAAAATTGGGGTGATAGGAGACATATAGTTTCCATTCCATATAGAACGAAAAACATTGTGTATAACTTGGTAACTATCGATTTCATTCTCATCCATAGATCTAGAGAATGCACTATCATTATTTTTTTTCGATTTAATGTTTCCCATTGAGATGTTAATAAATAAATTTTGATGAAAATGAGATATTAAATTGAGGTAGAGGGTAATATCGTTCAGAAAGGTAGGTACCTAAAGAAAATAAATTTCTTAATTAAATTTTTTTTTTTAGAATTTTTAAGGGCTGTAAGCGGAAAATCGAGCAAATTTATAGAATCGAGAAAAAAATTTAATATATGTATGTATAAATATGTGTGTTCAAAAAATAATGGTATTTAAAATAAATATATAGAATTAGTAATATTAAAGTATTTCTATAATTACGTAAATCTATAAGTAAATAAATAAATGATTGGTAAAAAAATTCTGGAATACAATGTCATAAGCATAACTCCTGGAACCAGGGACTTTAATATAATAAAGTTACGATTTAATTCATACACCAGACCAATTAAAATTTATCCGAAAAGGAATAATTCGAGTAATTCACACAAATGTTTAATCAATTTATGGTTACGATCGAAGTAAAAATGTACCAATCATTGTAATGATGCATCAATTTTATCCGAAAGAGTTGAGATTTCTCGTAAAGTTAGAATTCAATATAATGAATACCCTTAAGGTAATTAATTTGTTTACTATTTGAGGAATCTGAGTATTACATATTAATCATAGTAATTATATTTGTAGAAAATTCAAAATGATCATTGATAATAGTCTTTATATAGCATTGTGTATCGGATATATAAGTTATAACGAATAAACTACTTATGATGATAATAAACTACTTAAGATGATAATAAACTATATACTTAAGATGATAATAAAAAGTTATAAATATTTCATCAAAATAATCAAAATATATACAATAGAATTGAAAAAAAAAATAGGTAATGACCGAATATTACATATATATTTTAATATATTTTAATACAGTATGTTTGTTATGTATGCTCTTATCGATTTATTTGATTATATGCTAGTAACATTAATACAGTAACCTGTGATCAATAAAATTTATAAACGAAATGATTACTTGAGCATTTACAATTGAACGAATGATGTTATATTTGCGGAATATTTTTACGGAAGATTAGATAACATAACTAATTTTGTAAGTACGTGAGATAAGTACGTTACTGTACTGTACGTACGTAGTATCTCGATCTCGGATTTTCCGGTACATTTGCTTCGATCACTTGCGGATTTTCCGTATCATAATTTAACCGATCTTGAACAATACCATATAGCAACATGCAAAGAAGCATACACACACGTATGGTGTTTAAAAAAAACCCCCTGATACGTAGTACTATTTCAGAGAATCAATTGGGAAAGATATACTGTTTATTAATGCGCATTGACCGTTTAATGACGAAATGTAAAGATTTACGTTTCATATTCTTTAAATGTCAAACAGCTTTTTTAATTAGTTGTATGCAATCTTCATTAAGCAGAACAAATTGTGTTCATCCCTTGATCCACTCATAATTAGTCATTTCTATAATGATATAACTAAAATATACTACTTTTTTTTTTTTTCTTTATATTGATATTTACGTTTATATTTATTGTTATTTATATTGACAATTGTAATAAATTTATTAAACGCATTTAATATTAAAACTTGATTAACAAATCTTATTTTTTTCTTTCATAACTTTAATATTTCCACACATTGTGTTTGTAAATCTCTCGCTTAAGCTAACAAATGCAACCCAAGTGATCAAAATATGTAAGCATTATGCTCTTAAGGATAAATAATAATACATTTGTGAACAAATAATCTACGATGAAATAGGAGATTTAAAAAAGAAGATAATTAAAATTGAGATTTAAGGTAAAGAGAATACTTTAAATTTATCGTATCGTTTTCATATTCTCACGGATGCAAAACGAACTATTATGAGGTTTTTACATTATTGTATTATTATTATTATTATTATTTGTTATTATCTCAAATCGTTCAAATCCATCAGTTGCTCATTACTAAATATCGACGGAATTTAATTCCCGCAGAAATTCAAAGTGCATCTTTGTACAATGATAACAAAATCACAAAATTTATAGCTACAGTATTTTACAAACATCATATTTTCAAACAACATCAGAATTTAAAACAAAGCATGCACGCTTTACCATACCACATTTAATCCCTGCGCCTGCCTACTCTACCCTTGAAATCTTCTTCCGTTCTTATTGGAACTTCCGGAACTACTAATAATAACCGTGACATTCAAAATTTAAACTAGAGCTCGTAACTTGCTTTATATTAAACCCGACCTTTTGTTAAAACCGATTTTAATCGGCTAAAATAACTCCGGACTCAAATTCTAATTATGGTTAGTTTTTTGAAAATTTGTTGTCACATGCACATTTGTCAGTTTAGAATCAATTTTTGTTATCCTGCACCCCAATTTCGTCACGGTAAAGTAATTGAATTTTAACAATTTAATTGGTAAATTTATTACTATATAATGGCATCTTCATTAAATCTCGTTATGAAACTAACCGATTTTATTATGTTGAAAATACTACCCCATATAAATATTTAAATTTAAGGAATAAATATTTATAAATATTCATAACCGAATAAACTTCTGGGTTATAATTTATTAAATGGACTAGGATTGGATATAGATTTTTCACGCATAATGTGGTTCAAATTGGGTCACACAAATGACGCATATCATTTATTACGTACGTACGTCTGTACGTATTGTACGCAATTATGTAGTTCTATATAATTTCTCTCATGTTTAATTGCGTACATATTAATACTGAGAATTTTATTTTTCTCATAAATATAAAGTTGATTAAGAAATTGAACACATTAAAAACATCGTAAAACTCTTTATTGTTTTCTTTCCTTTATCAGGAATTATTAAAACTTTTAATTTTTAATCTTAATTCAAATTGTGAGACCTTGATATAATGATAAATGAATAATTAATTTCTGCTTATATTAAAAGACTTTAGATGTACGTTGGAAATTTCGACATTCCAGATATGTACTTATGTACGGATCGCACAAGCAAACAAACTATCATGTAAAATAGTCATCAGTTATAAATAGTGTCAAATCATGTATTGAGTAAATATTCATTCAAATTATATGAAATCGTACAATTGGATAGTAATAAAATTTTTTACATTGTCAATAAAAATATTTATTAACCTTAAATTATTTAATATAAGATCTTATGCAATTGTACTTTTTTAATGTTGTACAGATATCATCATATGTTACCTGTTTATCATGGCATTCAGTAAAATAATACTGTATTGCAATACAAATTCGGGCGGACATACGTACAAAAATTACACTAAATTTTTTGATAGTGCGTACGATTAACATAGACTTGTAAATTTCAATTTTATAAGTAATCTTTTTTTAATAGAAATATCATGTTAGGGTAAGTCAGGTTATAGGAAAATAACTTTGGCTTGCTTGCTTGAAGAGTTTTTATTTTATAAATCGTATGTACATATATACGTACGTACATAATATCCTGATTTCCACACGTTCGTCCTAATTTCAGAATTTGCGTTCCGTAGCACTTTACTATATACTCCTGTCATCAGATGTGGTACCTACGTCGTTCGTATGTTGGTACGTGTACATACGTACGTACTGTGCGTACGAATTACTGTATTTTAATTAAAATTAATAAAATTAAAACCAAACGCATAATCGCGGGATTTCCTGTATAGAACGTTGTATAGACCAGTAGACGTTCTATTTTATATTAAACTTTATAGAACAAATCCGTTCATACTTTCAAATGTTTCAAATGTTTCATCTTTACAAATTGCTTCACTTATTGTATCACTTCTATCCATTTATTATTATTTGTTAATACATTGAAATTAATAAAGGACATATGATACAATCTGTGATTTACTTATAAAATTTCTTTTAATGTAGTGGTGATTTATAGTTAGGAATTGGAACCGCCTAACATTTTCTTAATCGTTTAAATGTATTAACCGTATTAACCGTTTAATTTAATTTAGTCAGAATTAAGATAATCTTGGCCCATTATTAAAATAGCTCAGCCCAGCATTATGAAAAACTTTTATACGGATAAATGGTTCCGTTTTTAAGTTTCTCTAGTTCACATATATATGAGTGAAGTCGAGGAAAACGCATAAGTCTGAATTCTTACCAGATTCAACGTACGTACAGTACGTATGTACTGTACGTAGGGGTTACATATCAGATATTCTTAAAAGCTGATAGTTATGCATATTGTACTATCAACAAGTATGACTACAGTCGGCTTATGCAATTGATTTACCAAAAGACGCGTCTGCATATTGCTTTTTTTATAAGCCATCATTATCACTGATGATCAATGTAGTCTGATCAGAGACTAAAAAGACATTTAATAGTATTAAAATCAGCCGTATACTCGGTATATATTTTTATAACTAGGTCCAATCACCCTATAACTAATCAAATGCTAACCTTAATCTTATGTGATGTGATGTCAGCTAAATGAAATTTTGATGAATTGACTGTCGATGAAGTGAGCGGCATCGTTAAATAAATATGTAGATCGGCATCACCTAAAACTTTTCTAATTATTTAACCGTTTACCGTGTCAACCATTTAATTCAGCTGGCATTAAGATAATTTTGGCCCATGACCAACATAATTCGGTCCGGAACTATGGAATAATTTTTATGCGGTTAAACGCATTCAATCCTTAATATTAATATTAAATAAATAGTGAGCAGCCATTAAACATTAATTCAAAAATCTATTAAACATGGATACAGTATTGTACATCAAAAGACTTTATTACTTTGATTTTTCTACTTATTCATCGAGTTCTAAACGTTCTTAAGTTAGCGATTGCATATATCTTTTTCATATTTGTATAATAATGAAGAGATAGATGCTTTAAGCTTTTTACACGCTGTTACACCAATTAATGACTCATATTCGTTAGGATTTACGCAATATTTTTGTGTCAATGACACCTTATCTTGTGAAATTTAAGCAATTGTATCAATGACACTTGACATTGCGAAATTTTAGCGAT